GGGGCAGCGACCGTGGGACAGCCAACCCGCTCGGCCTCATCAGGACCGCGAACCGGGCGAACGTGCGGACGGGTTTGAATATATTTTGATTTAGTGTGTGTGTGTGTCAGGGCTTGGAGGTTGTCAGCTCTGTAACTGCCAGCATGTGGGGCCTGGGATCAAACTCTCAGGGCGGTTAGGTTTAGTGGCAGGGGGCCCTTCCCTTTTCCCCCGGCCCCCTTCCTGGCCCCCAAAACCCCCCCCCCACCCCCCCCCCCCCCCCCCTTCTCTTTTATTAAGTAATTAAAGCAAAGTGATGGAATTGTTGCAAATCTTTTAATAAGTACATATAATTTGCATTGTTCAGTCTTCTAGCCCAGTATGGCCTTGAACCCTCCTTGTAGCTTGCAAATGACCTTGAATTTCTGATCCCTCTGACTTCTCTCCCTGGGTTACTGGTGGGTGCCACCATTTGTGCGGCACTGGGCATGGAGGCCCGCTAGGCAAGCTCTCTACCCCACCCGCGCCCTGGTCATGTTTATCTCTTCTGCTCTGAATTCCACACAGGGAGGACATGCATGCTGTCTGGGGTCCTAAAAAAGGGAGGGCTTTGTTGTAATGGGCGCTTAGTACCGCACTGCACACACCACACTGTCATTGTGAGTGGTGCAGTGACCACGGTGGGCAGGCTGGAGTCTCCACAGCCCGAAGACTGGGGTTGATTTGCTCTTTGGCTCAGCAGCATCCCAAGGGGTTGTCAGAGGTGGTCATGCTGTTCCACACAGCTGCCGCCCTTGCCTGCAAAGGAAGGGAGTATCGACCTTGGGAAGGGAGTATCGACCTTGTGATGGCGTTTTGTGTTATCATATAGGTGAAAATGTACATGTTTTTGTGAGTGAATTTTTTTTTTTAAGATTTATTTATTACATATACAGTGTTCTGTCTGCATGTGTCCCTGCAGGCCAGAAGAGGGCACCAGATCTCATTACAGAGGTTTGTGAGCCACCATGTGGTTGCTGGGAATTGAACTCAGGACCTCTGGAAGAGCAGCCAGTGCTCTTAACCTCTGAGCCATCTCTCCAGCCCCCTTTGAGTGAATATTTTTGTTTTGTTATGTGTTTGAGTGTTGGCCTGCATGTATAGCTGGGTACCACTTGTGTGCTTGGTGCATACAGAGGCCAGAAGAGGCCATCAGATTCTCTGGAACTGGAGTAACAGTTGCGAGCTGCTCTGTGGGTATTGAAATTCAACCTAGGTCCTCTGGAAGAGCAGCTGGTGCTCTTAACCACGGAACCAGGCTGGCCTCAAACTCAGAGATCTGCCTGTCTCTGCCTCCCAAGTGCTGGGATTAAAGGTCTGTGCCACCACTACCTGGCCTTTAAATTGAATTTGTAAACTAAGGATCCAAAAGCCACTACTTGCCACTGGACATTTTCTATTTCCTATGTTTTTGGTGTCACTTATCCTTGTCCCAGCTATATGGTGGAAATGCATTTCTTCTGAGAATTCCTATTCATTATTTATGACAGAGTGTTCCTGGATAGGTAGTAGGTCCTCAATTTTTTTGGGTCCCCCTGCTTCTGTATCCCAGGTGTTACAATTGGAGATTTGTACCCCACCTGGATTGGAATTGTTTCCAAACAGGGCCTCATGAAGCTTGGCTAGTCTTGAAGCCAGAGGGTAGCCAGAGAAGACACCCTGGAACTTTTGATCCTTCTGCCTCCACCTCCTAAGTTCTGGGGCTGCAGGCATGTACCCCGACATACAGTGCAGGGGCTCAAATGGGTGCTTTGTGCATGGGAGATGAGCACCCTATAGCCCACCCCTTGGAGTCGTTCTCAGATGTTGGAGTGCCCGTGTTTTCTGGAGATCTTCTGCCAACAGCTTGATCATTGCTGAACTGTACAGTGGAAATGCTTACAACCTAGATCCATTTTCTCTTTTCATTTTGAAACAGAATCTCATGGATCCAGGCTGGCTCCAAAGTGGTGAGTAGCCAAAGATGACCTTGAAGTTCTGAGCCTTCTGCCCACCAATCCAGAGCCCTATACAGTATGTCCCCAAATTTCGGTTCAGTGCATCTTACTGGGGGCTTGAAGCCAACCATGGTTCAAGTAAGCATACCCTGGGAATGGCAAATACAGCGAAGTAGAGCCTTTTTCTTCCTCTTCCCTGGGAAATCACTAGTTTTGACTTCACTGTATGTTTTAGTCAGCGTTCCATTGCTGTGAAGAGACACCATGACCTAGACAACTCTTAGGAGAGAGAGCATCTAATAGGGGCTTGCTTGCAAGCAGGCAGACAAGGTAGCTGAGAATTCCATAACTGGAAGAGAGAGCCACTGGGTCTGTTTGGGGTTTTTAGAAAAAATCAAAGCCCACCCCAATGACACACTATCTTCAACAAGGCCACACCTACTCCAGAAAGCCACACTTAATCCTTCTCAATCAGTGCCATACCCGAAGACTAAACTTTCAAGTAGATGAGTCTGTGGGGCCTTTGTTACTCAAACCGCCACACTGGCAAACTGCAGAATGAGTGAGGGTGTCGGCTTATTCAGAAGGGAGCTTTATCCTTGTTTCAAAGAACCCTTCATGGAAGGGTTCACAAAGTTCACAGCATCCCTCAGACGTTGGACCTGCCAGAGCCAAGGTTGCAGTGTCCTGAGTTTTTTTTTTTTAATCTATTTAATTTCCTTGAGTCCGGATCTCATGGTATAGTAATATCTTTGGCTGATGTGGTACTGCATAGAAAGACCAGGCTGACCTTGAACTTGTGATTCTCTTGCCTTTGCTTCCTCTTGCTTCTCTTAAGGTAAGAGGTGTGAGCCACCAAGTCTCATCTGTCACCACCTCCCTTTTTCGGTTTTGTTTTTTTTTTTTTTTTTTTTTTTTTTTTTTTTTTTTTTTTTTTTTCATTTTTTTTTTTTTTTTCTGTGCAACCCTGGCTGTCCTGAAACTGTTACCAGGCTGGCCTTGAACTCAGAGATCTGCCAGCCTCTGCCTTCCAAGTCCATGTGCCATCACACCCAGAACTGTGGCCCTGAACTAACTTTAATTGGATTTCTCCCATTCCACAGATCTTTCCTATGAGTCCTGTTTTGCCTCAAATATTACTCTTTTTTTGAGACTAGGAATCTCTATGGAGCCCTGACTGTTCTGAAACTCACTCCATAGCCCAGACTGGCCTCAAACTTGGAGATCCACCTGCCTCTGATTCCCAAGTGCATGGGCCGCCATGGCATGGCTGTCCTTAAATTTCCAAAACCTCTGCCTAAGCCTCCCAAGTGTTGGGATTCCAGAGATGTGCACTATACCCTAACATGTCATTTCACAGGTTGGCACAACAATGTGTTTCTTTAAAAAAAAAGTTTATAGCCAGGCGTTGGTGGTGGTACACTCTTTTAATCCCAGCACTGGGGAGGCGGAGGTAGGTGATTCTCTGTGAGTTCAAGGCCAGTCTGGTTTACAGACCGAGTTCCAAGATATCCAGGGCTGTTAGACACAGTAACTCTGCTTGGAAAAACAAAGCAATTATTTTAACCAGTGTTCCTATGCCAGTGTCTGTGTGTGTGCACATACACAGGAGTGCAGTGACCTCAGAGTCTAGACGAGGGTGTTGCAGCCCCTAGAACTAGACTTGTACATGATTGTGACCATTCAACCTGGGTGCTGGGAACCAATGGAGTGGGGAACCATCTCTCTGACTGGACAGATGGTCTCTCCAGCCCCAACAATGTGTTGGCTATGCAGGTCTGCGCCTTTGTCCCTCGGCATCTGTCTCCCCAGGACTCTCACCTTGTACCACCCCACTGTGGTGGCACACAGTTATAAGCCGAGGATGGGGTGTGGAGGCAGGCCGTGGGGGAGACGAGGTGGCTAGTCAAAAGCAGCTCTGATGGTTACCAGCTGTCACCCTGGCCTGAGCTGCTTGCTGCTCTGTGTAATCTTTGTCTTCTTCTGCTCGTGGTGTGAACGAAGGTGGACATTGCGATTATGAGATAACATCACAAGATGGAGCTCATGGGGTAGTATGCCTTCCACACGGAAGATTCCAACGTCTTGACAGAGAAGAAGGGTGGATGATAGGTACAGCAGTTAATGTCTTTTGTCGAGGAGAGATGGAGAGACAGCTAGGGCATTAACGTAGCACACCTCTGAGGGCGTTGTCTGTCTGTTGGGTGTGTTTCCAGAGAGGATTAATGGAGTGGGGACAACAGGGCACCATGCCATGGCTGGACCATCATTCCAATCTCCCTGGTTTTGAATCCTTAGAGACAAGAAGGTCCTGGCTTCATGTCCCCCCCCCTCACCCCCCTGTTGCCACACTCCCTTCCACAATGATCCTGAAAATAAATCTTCCCTCCATTTAGCTTGTTTTCAGGTTTGCATGATGGCAATAAGGAAATTAATCCACTGAGGAGGGTGTGTAGACTTGAATGAACACTTCTGCCTCTCCAGGTTCAGTCTTCCTGAGCGTTCTTGTCTCAGCAATGTGGGTGTTGGATAAGGCTGACCACCTTACTGTCTTTGAGGTCAGCCTGCATATGTCCAAAGGGAGAGGACAATGACATTGGAATATGAATTCCCAGCTTTTTCCTCACAGAGCCCCTGCTGGGCAGGATGCAAGTTTTGGCCCAGAATGAAACTCTAAAAATGTCCGTCAGTGAGACGGATCATGTGGACAATGGCACCTGCCTCCAAGCCTGATGCAGTGAGCCCAATGCCCCAGAAGCCACACTGGAGAAGGAGAGAACCAAATCCACACACACAAGAGAAGCTCAGGGTCACATGCAAGGCCCAGTGACCAGTGACCTCCCAGGTCACAGAGAGGCCCAGGCTTTGGCTGCAGCACCAGGTTGGCTCTGCAGGGCCACAGGTAAGAAAGAATCCTTGCCTTGGAGTAACGCATGCGCTGTGTAAGTTTCCTAGTGATGGAAGCATTCCACCCTGCAGGGAAGCTCCTTAAGCAGGAAGCTAAACAACTCAAAAGAGCTTTAGGAAGTCCCTGAAGCCAACCAGACTCCCAGGTCCCTCTCTGACAGGGCAGGCAGTAAAAGTTACAAAGGAGACTCAGACCAGACCGGCTGCCTGGAAGAAGCAGAACCCACTGGAGCTGCTTGAAAGAGGTTTAGAGCATCTGAGGCACCTGGAAAAGACACCCTCCAGCCTGCTGAGCTGCCTGCAGGCTGTGCAGTATGCTCTGGGGTCCCCAGCTCTGTGAGCTGTCACTCATGCAGGGGTGGGCTCTGGTGATGAGCTGCTTTTGAGTCATTTCTGCTCCTGTTAAGTGATTAATGACCCACATGTATTCGTGTAAGTAACCCTGATATAACCCAACTTGGTTCACCAAGTTGCTCTTTGGTGGTATTTTGTTCTGTCAAGGTGTCAAATAGGGGGGTGAATGGATGTGTATGTTGAGTCTCCCCAGGAAACATTTTTTTTTTTTTTATTATTTTGTCACACAACACCATGGAGGCCAGACCTGTAAGTGCCCTCGCTCACTACCTGGCCAAGGTCAACTGATGCGTCAGAGAGAAATTAAAGTAGGCCGGTCGGAGGGTGCACAGCAAGACCGAGGCTTGGAAATTCTATGGAGAGCTATCAGACCTTTTATCCTCCTATCAGAAACAGAATGTAATGACTGCAGTTGCCAGGGTGCAACGCAGAGTGTAGGCTAGGCAGGGTATACAGATGGATGTCTAATGCCAGTTGTCCTGCCAAGCTTCCATGCCTGACAGTCAGGCACGCTCCCTTGACTATGAAGGGAACATGCAGAGAAAACACAGAGCAACCCCAACACTTCACTGAAGCCTGAGAGAGCGTGTGAGTCACTCAGGAAATTGCAGGTGTTAGGGTCGAGAGAAGCCGCCAAGAAAAGACCCAACAGTCATGAATGAAATAAGCAAATGGTTTCCAACAAGTTGGGGTGGCAGATAGTGACCCCAAGGGGCAGTCACAAGCTTCTTTTAAGTGGAGTCAGTGGAGCAGGGATTAATCTGGTGGTGAAAGGTTTAGTCTCTGGGCTGATTGGTCGGAGGCTCCAGGGCTTAGGCACCTTCCAGCTGCAGGGGAGGGAAAGGTATCTTCAGCTGGCAGTGGGGCGCCTGCTGAGCTAGTAGAGGCTGTGGGGTGCCTGCTGATTGGTTGCCTCTAAGTTGTGGTTTTCTGCTAGTTCATCTCCATCCAGTTCTAGTGAGCTGAAACTGATGTCTGGTCTCCGTGAGGGCTACTGGGAGACCCTGTCATGGTCTGGTTTCCTGGCCCTCTCAGGAGGCACATTGCACCCCAGGAGCCATAGACTCTAACCTGAAAGACTTGTGGCACATGTTCCTCAGTGTGGCTAGGACAGGACAACTCCCTGGCCCCTTCACAGGTCTTGGCAATAGATCTCTCAATGGATCCCAGTGGGCGCCATCGTTTCCTCGCAGAGAAGCCCAGTCCTTGGGGAATCAAAAGTGACGTTACTATTTCACATGTGTGGCCATTTTGTGGATGTCCGCTGTGGTGCAGGGTGAGCTCAGCGGCTCCTGTATATAAATATCAGGAGGTTGAGATATGGGGTTAGGGATGTTGGCACCGGCACAGCAGGAGTAGGCAATTCCAAGCGTAAGGTCTTAGGTTATGACATCAGAAGACAGCTGAGTGTGCGAGCCAACAGGGCTTAAGAACCACAGGGGAATGGGTTGAGCAGAGAGGTCAAAGCCTGACAGACACAGGGCTAAGAAGAGCCCCAGCCCTAACAGCCAAGTGAGGGAGGTGCCAGGGCCAAACAGATGTGAGAATGAGTTAGCAGTCAGTGACATATCAAGCTTTTCCACCACGGAGAAGATGCCAATTGTATCTTTGCCTTTCAGTAAGGTTTTGCCAGACGAGTGCAGGCATCCATCAATGCTAAATGTGTTACTGAATCCACCTAGGAGAGGAAGATCCCGTCAGGGGGAAGGGGCAGGGAGGGATAGTTCAGTAAACCTAAAACTTTCATACCCAGTAGCCCAGGCTCCACCCCTCCTCCTATGGACCCAGGAGCCAAGGTCCAAAATTTTCCCTCAGACACAAGGTTCTGGACTCCAGCCAACCTTTTTCTGCTACAGCAGTCCAGGCCTCTGACCTGCCCCCCTAGGACCCAGGAGTCAGTTCCCCATCCCTCCTGCTGAGTCCCTGGAGTTATGGCCTCAGCCTCCCTCAACCTGGGGGTGCAGCCTTCCGCACTCACCTCCTGTAATCGTAATGTCACCTGTGTAGCAAGCAGTGCCCTTAGGACAGTGGACATAGTTGGAATTTCGGGTGCAGGAACCTTGAAAGTGCAAGCAGACAGGACACTGGGTGGTCCCTGGGCGAGTGGAGTCTGAGGACAGAGGAGCAAGTATACTCTCAGCCACAGCCACACGCAACCCCCGGGAGTTCCGTGTCCCTGGATGCCATACTTGAAGGAAGGAGGTGCTTAAGTAGGACTTGGCTGCTGTCAGCGTGGTTGCACAGATCAGTGTCACACAACTTGAAGTAAGAGGCAGCCACTATTCCAGGTCCGCTGGCATACTCCGTGGTAATTTCATTCATGGAGTCCCCAGGGTTGCTGGGACCTTTG